GATATGTGAAGACATCTTCTTGGTTTTTATTTTGAAACAATTTTTAGGCTTGTTCTGGGGGTCTCTGTGCTGCCTGTACTGTATTGACCTGTTTTATAGGTGCCTTTTTATTAAAAAGAAAACTCTAAATTCCATCTGCCTTTTTGCTTCTGTCTGGCTTCTCCAGCCCAGTTTGCTCTTGGATGCCTGGGAGGGAAAGGGGGGACCCCTAGGCATTTTCAAAGTCTGTGGTGAAGGCACAGTCCAGAGGGTCCCAGCTCTGGTTTCCCCAGTGGGACCTCCTAGGAACTTAACCCAGATGGTGTCCATGACTTGAAGTTCCCCCATCACCCCAGATATGAGACTTGGGAGGAGGGTGGGAATGCCCAGACATGTCTGACAGCCTCTGTAGCGCGGAGCAGCTTCCTTTGGTTCCAACTGAGTAGTGTCCTCTTAGGGTCGGGCTTCCGCGGGGACCTGGGGACTTCCCTGTACAGGTCTTTGCTCACCCTGCCCTACCCAAGATGAAGCCCATTGAGACCTGGGCTAGCTTGCAGGCAGGGAATTGGTGATGTGACCCCCTAGAGGCTCCCTTCAGCCTCTGGCTCTTGTCCTCCGGGGTCTTCGCTCAGGAATCGCTCTTGCTGGAGCCTGAGCCTGCACTAGGAGTTCCCACTGTCCTCAGTGTGGTTGAGTCCGCTAGGATCCACCAGCACTCTGGATCCAGCCTGCTGGAGTTCTCCAGCCCACCTCCACCACCACCCTGGGCAGAGGAAAATAACTGGATCCCACTTTCTTCCTTGAGGCTGGGGAAGGGGAATTTTTTCTTTCCACCATTGGCTTCTTTCTTTCTGGCTCAACCCTGATTCTTCCCCGTCTACCTGTGAACACCTGCAATTGGCTCTTCACTTGCCCAGCACTGGGGTGGTTAGAGCTACCTGAGCAAAGTGATTCTGAGCTTTAGCTTGGTCAAAAAGCTGCAGGGCTGGGGGCCTGGATGGGGGTCAGTAGCTGAGGGGTCAGAGGCCCACGAGATGATACAGTGTTCTGGAAGGACCTGCTATTCCTTATCGGTGAGGGCAGAAGTAAAAGTTGTTTCCTGAACTTTGGATGGTTAGGATGAGAAGATACGTGGGGTCCTTTCAGCTTAAGGTGATGCAGGTGGACACAGGAAGCCTTTCCTTTGCCTTTAGACTACTTCCCCTTCTTGAGCTCCAGCCCAGCCATGAGGCTGAGAAAAAGCTAGCAAGGATGTCATAGAAAGAGGGGCTAGTGTGTCCAATTCCCCATAAAGATGCCGGTCAAAGGGAATTCTTAGGAACGCAGCCCGGGTTGAAAGGGGTTCCTGCAAGGAAAGCAGAAATAGAAAAGGGTGCGAGGACCTAGAAGGTGGTGAGAGAGGTGGCATTCTCTGACTCCGAGAGGCTGCTCTTGCGCCAGCTCGGGAAGAGCTGGCAAAGGGAGGCGGGGCCGACACAGCCCAGCTTGGTGAGAAGCCGGGACAGGTCACTCCGGAACTTCACCCCGGCGAACGTGTAGAGCACGGGGTTGAGGCAGCAGTGGGCCACGCCCAGGAACTCACTCATGGTGATGGCCACCGAGAGGTAGCTGTTCAGTTCACACCTATGGTTCATGGCCTTCAACCTCACCAGGGTGTCCAGGAAGATGACGATGTGGTAGGGAGACCAGCAGAGAAAGAAGACACTTGTTACCAGAATGGCCACCCTGACCGCCTTCTGCCGCTGAGGGCGCCTCTGGGCCTGGCACAGCTTTTGCACTACCCCGACATAGCACCAGCTCATCACCAGCATGGGCAGGAGGAACCCTCCGACATGGTAGAGGAAGCGGGAAGCGAACCAGGCATTGCTTTCTGCTTGGTTCTCTTGGGAGAAGATGCAGCGTGGCAGGGAGTTGTTGTGATGGTGTTGGCTGACCTTGGCATAGAGAAGCTCTGGCAAGGCAAACAGGAGACCCGCCAGCCAGACGGCGGTGCAGGTGATGTGGATGGAGAGGAGTCGGCGGTGGCGGTAGGCATGGACAGCGTGGACGATAGCCAGGTAGCGGTCCACGGCAATGCAGGCCAGGAGCAGGCTGCTGCAGTAGAAGTTGATTTTGTGCAGAGCTATCACAGTCTTGCAGAGGAAGGTGCCCAGGACCCAGCCCACAGAGCCCTCCGCTACGGCGAAGGGCAGGATGAAGACGAGGAGGAGGTCAGCCACGGCCAGGTGGAAGAGGAAGGTCTCCGTGGAGCTCCGTGTCTGCCGGTGACGTTCCAGGATCACCAGCACCAATGTGTTGCCCATCATGCCCAGGAGGAAGATGAGGCCATAAGCCACGGGCATGAACGTGGCCTTGAAGGCGGTCAGCAGGGGTCCTTCAACTGTGGAGCAGAAGTGGTTTTCCGTTGGTGACACTGTGCTGTAGTCACTGTAGTTGCTGAATTCTTTGTACTGGAAAGGATGAGAGAGACAGGAGGATGGGAAACTGAGTACCTGGCCCTTCCTCTCTCAGAGGACCCCTGCCTACCTGTTGCTTTTTCTTTCCTCTCCTCAATTCCCATAATACTTGCTGTTGTCCCTTCATTCCCTATTCGCACCACTGACAAAATCCCAATTTTTCTTCTTTGTCTTTAGACCAATTACTTTCCCCAGCTTCAGTGGTTGACCAAGCCAATTGCTATGGAGATGGCTTTGACTCATGGCAGGCCCATGTGTGTCAAGGTAGAACTGTGCTTCCCTGCATTTCCAATGGTTAATTTTTCAGGAGATTACCAGGGCTTTCTTCAAGGGCACCTCTGGGTGCACTTGAACCACCAACCTCTAGGTTATCAACCAGGTGCACTCAGGATCTCCTGACTGATAAAAGGGTCTGATTCCTCATGAGGTAACAATAAAGTGACAAGAGATACATGACGTAGGACTTTGTAAACTGTGAAGTGTGGTGTACCTCTAAGTTATTTTTTGTGTTTATGTGTCTACAGGTATGAGAGACTACAGGCTGGGTCTAGAATTAGAGAAAGATCTTGTATTGACTATGGGGAAAGATCTGGGTGGGATGAGGAGCCATCTGTTCTAATTCGTACAAAAATAGTGGGCACTGAAGCCTGGCTCCTATTGAGGGGTGCAGACTTATGTGGCTTGCTGGTTCCTCTTGCCACCTCCCCATTTCCTGACTGTGGTCATTATGATCAGGATTGTGGAAATAACCTCCTATTTGTTGCGGAGAGTCAGTGTGCTAGGGGTTTCTTACATCTCATTTCATTGAATCTACTGAACAATCTCAAGGTAAGAATACTTTTTGCAAGTGTGTTGGAACCATGTTTGTCTCCCTCTAGAGCCAAATTCTCCACTGCGGGGGTCCTGCCTGGACTTTCTTGTGGGGCTACTGAGGAAAGCAATGGATAAACTCTCTGCTGATTGCCCTCACTAACGCCTTCCTCCAGACCACAGCCCCACAGCTTCAGAAGCAAAACCTAGAGGCAGCAGGAAGTAGGAGAATGCAGGAGACCCTGGCCCAAGGCTGAGGGAAGAAGGCTGTTCCCAGGGCAGGAAGCTGGCCAGCTGTCTCCGGAAGTTCCCTCCTCCCCACCGTCCTGCCCCTGCCCACGCCCCTCTGTAACTGCCCCCCCCCCCAAGTCAGCACTCTGCCAGCACTCAGGTTGTTTACCCAGCTAACCACAAAGGAAGACACCATGCCTGTTTTCATACCTTTCACTCACAGATGTCCCACTGCACCTGCCCCTGCTCCTCCTCCCAGCTCTTTTCTTCCCACCCCTCGCTAGCCAGTCCTGTCCCCACAGCAATTCAAAACCCACTACAGCCAACTGATGGGAGTTAAAAAAACCAAAACACAAAAAACAACTCTGTAAATAATGAGCCCCAGGAGGCAGAACACAGGAGGGCTACCCTTCCCTCCAAGCCCCAAGTGGTCTCACAGTGCTCTCCTGGGTGATCAGAAGAGAGGGTCCGGGGTGACCCTGAGCAGAGGGTGGTTGCATGTCTACCCACAAGATTTTCTTGTCACCCAGGGGCCCTAATTGTGAGTCATACACTTACTCTCAATGGTGACCAGACCCATTCACCAAACTGACAGGTTTCTTTTCTAGTACCCAGGGCAGGAAGCTCTGTAAGAAGAGGGTGGGGATCTATTCGGGCAACAACAGGGCCACCTACCCTCCACCCCCACCCCTCAGCATCCCTCTGCCTCCTTCACCTAATGTTCCACTTCTGTCTCCCTCCTACCTGGTGGAGGGGCTGCGTGCTGCTCCCCTCCCCCCCATCCCACTTCCTCAGTGTCCTACTTGAAGTCTTTCACTGGCTCCCCACCAACTCTGACCAGTGGTGGTTTTTTTTTTTCTTTCTCTTGATCTCCATTTAATTGTACAATTGTAGGAAAAAGGTCAAGTTTGTCATGGAAGTTCATTAAGAGAAGACTGGGATAGGCCCACCTCAGCGTCTTCAGATGACAGTGGCCCAGAGAAATGGGCTTTTGTGGTACGCTTGCTTAGGGAAAGAGTGTTTTAAACACATAGCTCAATTTCACAGGTCACAGGTAGCACGACCCCACTGACGTTCTCTGAAATGTGGCCATGATTGTGTATGTATCACACAGTGTCTCCAGGACAGAGTGGAGCTGGAAGAGGCTCTAGACTCCCTTCTGACCTTTAAAGCAGAGATCACTACTTTGATCTCCTGTGTTGTTTCTCACATAAGCTTTTGTTTGAGAAAACGATTCTACAGCTCAAAAAATATTTTTTTTCTATAATTATATTTTATTAATTTTCATAAACATTTACAGAGATTTTGGGTTTCCATTCATTCATTGTTGCATTATTCTCTCTACCCTCCTCCCAGTTTGTTCTTGTCCAAATGCCACAGTGCTTGTCAAGGCCAGTTCTGATTAATCTTCTTTGTCAGTGTGTCCTTTGCCATTCCCTATCACTCCTCCCTGAGAGAGACTTCACCCTGAGTCATAAGGAAAAGGGGATGGCATATTCTCTTAGCTACTTTGTGCTGAAAAGGGACGCTGTGGGTTTCAGGGTGAAGATCTTCTCTCACTACTCCAAAGGGCCCAATATTTTGAAAACCATGGACCTGCAAGATGAGGGCTAAACTCAGTGGAACCCTCTACCTAATTGCTTTAGGCACCTTGCCTTCCAGGGACATCACTGTACAGCTGACAGTCCAGCACCCCACCTTTCCTGACTCCAAAACTTTGCTTAAATTCTTCCTTTTGTCTGGCAAGCCTTTGTCTGTAAGTTTGCCAATGAAATTTCTATCCTTCCTTCAGCCAACTCCATGGTACCTTTTCACATCCTTCCATGTTCCTAGTCTTCCACACTCAGAATGACATTTTTCTTCTCCAAACATTAAGAATATTCTTTTAGTCCAACACATAGGACTGAAAAGGCCATTTCCCTAAAAGATAGTAAAATCCTAGATTCAGGTGTTTTGTGTTCCCCTCACAGAGCCCTGTGTTTTATACATGACAGACATGCAGGATTTCTCGGAAGGAGTTTCTGTGAGAGGGCTATTGTTATTAGGTGCTGCTGAGTCGAATATGACTCATTAAACAACCGATCTGAACCCTGTCCTCTCCTGTGCCATCCTTGTCATCGCTGACATACTTGACCCCATTGCTGTAGTCACTGTGTCAATCTATCTCGTTGAGGGTCTTCCTTTCCTTCACTGACTCTCCCTCTTTCCAAAGAATAACCCCTTCTAATAACATACACGCTCAGGACTTTCTTTGTACCTCAGAGGGACTCAGAACGTCCCACGTGTCCTTCAAGTCCTTCCCTCCCTCCATACTCCTGAGTGCCGGGAACTTCCCTTTAGGTTCTCTTTTAGGAGTGGGAGCGACTGCCAAAATTGTCATTGAACACAGTCATTTAGCTCATCTTGGAATTCAGTAGAAGTTAAAGTGGGTTAACAGTGGAGTTAGCAACTTCTAGAAAGAGCAAAGTAATTTAGGCCTTGGGAGGAGAGACAGAGGCCCTGAGGCACGTATCAGAACTGGGTTCCACCTTCTTTCATAGATTTCACCCTTTTGCCTGGAAATTCTATCAGCCTGCCTAAGCCAGAAATCCTTTCATGAGAACTCAAGTCCTGGTCTTCTAAAGCATCCAGGCCTACCACTGCTTTGTTTTTGCTTTCTTTTTGCCAAAGGATATTTGTTTGGCAAAGTGCTCAAGCAGGGAAGGAAAGACGGCAGGAAGCTTGTTGACAGGTTCCCAAGAGCTGACAATACATCTCAGCAGGAGGTGTCAAACAGAAGTTTTGGGGTCTCAAGAGTGGTGTGTGCTAAAGTCACTTCCCACACACAGGGAACTAGCTACTCTCACCCTACTCCAAACCACAGAGAGAGCTAATAAAGCCAGGCTGAAGCGTGCCTGTTGGGAAGTTAAGGAATCAGGGATTTTATGGTTCAAAGGGGAGCCCTTCCAGCCACACCCTGAAAAGCACAGGACAGGCAATTGAGGTGAGTGGCTCACTCACCCTCTGATGTAAAAAGCTGCAGAAACCCAAAACCTTCATAAACACATGCTCAGACAGTAACATGCACACCGTGTAGATGCAGATTTGTGTCAAATGGAGCCACGTCAGCATTTTGTGGACAAAAAGCGACATACAGTCTTGCGACTCCTGTCCCAAGGAAAACAAGAAAACTCAATGACCAGAACGAAGCTGAGCAGAAAACCAGGTGTTTAGTTAGGAGATTGTGTGAGCTCTGGGGACAGGGGCCAGAGGAGGGTCTGGCGCAGAGCCTGGTAGAGAGGTAGGGGGAGTGAGAGGATGGATAGACGCTAAGTGGTAGGATCCATGCCTGTTACTCTTCTTCTCTGCCCTCATTCCTCCCTTGGGAGACACTTTAGGACCAAAGCCCACTTCTGGATAATTAAGGTCTCCAGGCTCCTCTGTTCCAAATAATGAAGTTACCTCATTGCCCTGACCTAGCCAGTGTGAAGCCAGGAAGTGTTTGGGGATCTGTGTCAACAGGCCTGTGTGTATATGTGTGTCTATGTCTGTGCATGTGGCTCTAGGACATTTCTCAAGAATCTGTCCTGGAGCCCCTTCTCTCTTTGCATACACAACCCTGTTTTGGCTGAGGACTTAAGTGAGGTCCTAGTGTACTTTTAGACAATGCAGGATTTTCCACAGGCTGGAACTAAGGCCCAAACTCACTTGAGTTAGTTCTGACTCATAGTGTCCCTCCACTGGGTCTCTGAGGCTGTCAATCCAAATGGGAGGAGGCTGTCCATCCTTCTCTCAAAGGACCACTGGTGAATTCCAACCACTGAAGCTGCACAACCTTCCAGTTAGCACAGCTCACCATGGACGACTGCACCAGAGCTAACCCAGCGGAGCAGCTTGGGGAAAATGTAGAGGGCTCAAGTTGCAAACAGCAGCTGTCCAGAGACAAGTCAGGGAAGACCTAGCTTAACAATAGT